TAAAAAAAATTGTTATTTAAAAATAATTTAATTAAAAACTTTTTAAAATGTTTTGTATAATTAAAAGCTAAAAAATTCTTGTGTTGGAAGGTGACAAAGTAACTGTTGATTCGTGCCTTTCCATTTGATTATGGGATGAGATTACTTCCAAAGTGATGAATTATCGTCAGCTGTCGCATGACGCACATATCTACAAATTCTAATTTATTACTCATCGTTTATTCTTTACAGACAAATATTCGTCTCGCAGCTAAATAAATTGTCATTGTTTTTTTTACGAATTATCATTCCTCTTCACGAACCATCTCATCACTGCTTTTTCTTGTAGTTTTGTTTACCCCATTCTTCAGTTTTTGTTTCATCTTGCAAGTTTATTTCAATATAAATTAGAAAATTTCATCGCATTGCGTTACGTTATTTTTTTAATTTATCAATTGAGCTTTAGTTGCTTACGATATGAAAATTCGTTGACAAACAAATAAACAAACAAATAACAAATCATCTCACCAACATACAAACAAATAAACCAGCAAACAAACAAACAAACAAGTAAACCAACAAACAGTGATGAGCCGAACTTTTGCAACATGGATCACGATGGATGGGAGAGTGTCACCGTGGGCGTTCCTCAATCGTCATCACCATCGTCATCGTCGTCGTCGCCATCATCATCGGCACCATCATCATCGTCATCAGTGACGTCACCACCTTGGTGGCCAACAACGGACCATACTACAGGAGATTGTGAGTTTGAAAGTTTTGCACGAAATAATTCTTTAATATTTTGTATAATAATTTCATAATATTATCAGTACTTTAATGTTTATCCATGTTTCTCTATGCTGAAATGGAAAATAATATTTTCATCATTGTACTCAACCTCTTGTTTATAACACACTTACTTACATTTCAATACAAGCGTCTTTTGTCATTTTAAAATTCATGTTTCTGTTTTGTTAAAACTATTTCTACGTTGTTTTGTATTTTGTTTAAAAAAGTATTTCGTTTTGTTCTTAACATTTTTTTTGTATGTAGGTTGTAGTTTTTTTTTCTACTACCATCAATCAAAACCACTACACACAACCTTCGTCACCGTAAGCATAAGAACTATCAAGTCGCCACTCAATCAAGTTACCAGAATAAGACTTCATCACAACACACTTTAAATATATTAACACTCAGTAAACATTTGTCATTTGCTACATTTTGTCTATTTTTTTCTCTAACGAACGCTTAACTTACTTATTAACTGGTCAATTAATTGAATAACTCGTTTTTTTAAATCATTATTTTTTTTTCGTACTTAGTATCATTAATCATTCTTACTCGGTTATTTATTTTCCGTTATAATCCAGTTGTTTGATATATTACTGCCTTGCATGTTGTAACAGTTTCTGCGCCTATCACATTCCGCTTTTTTTAAAGAATAATAATAAATAAAAATTCCTAAATAATTGTTCTGAATTCAACAAATCTATTTCTATAGTTAACGCAATAGTTGACAAAAATCAGCGTATAGATTTTCGGATGGAACATAGAAATGTGTATTTACTAGAAGGTTATCAACAGTTATTCAACCAAACGTTCTCGTACAGTCGCAGATCAAAAAATTTTACATTAAAAACAACTCAATTCACGCACATTTAACGTCTATAAAAAAAATACTGTAGATACATTTCTTAAATACAAGCAAGTTTTTTCTTATTTTGGTCAAGCAGTTTTATTGCTTTTATGTTTAAAAATGAATTTGAATCCTCACAAATCGCAAAAATGTACCAGGAAAAGATTGCATTGCACAAATAGAGGCTGTCGTTGGTTGTAAACATTTTGAAGTGACAGGATAAGACAATGGGTTTAGGACGAGATTTTTATTGTAGGTACACCAAAGCCGGTTATAATATTTTAAATTTTAATACCGCATAATCCTTCCTGCGAATAAATTCAATTTAAACATTTCTACCTGTAAACGATGTGAATTGGATCAGTTGGCAAGTATTAAATCAGAAGAGAGCAGGATAATTTTCATTTCAACTCTCTTGCAGTGACTGTAGTTCAATTTTTGTTCAGGTCAATAACTTTAGTTACATCAAAAATAAATTATTGTAACTGACAACAAAATGTTTACTGCTAAAAATATGAATTACAAAATATAGATCCATCCATAGTACAACATAAAATATTTTATCATAGCTCAACATACAATGAGTATGTATTCTGTACACACACACAAACACACACACAAACACACACACAACACAGACACACACACATACACACACACACAACACAAACACTACACAAACACAAACACATACACAAAGCATGACCAACCCCTCTCTCCTAAATAACTGTTCATACATCGAATGAATATTTTGACAGTAATTTCATTGGTTCTTCAAAAACGTGGCCGGTATGTTATCGCTAAGAAGATTAGATGTTTCTAAAAAGTATGCTCCAATCTTGAAATGCAGAAAATTTTGGGAGTTTTTCAAAAAAATTACAATTTTTGTGTTTTCCCCCTGATTTGTATTGTTTTTGTTTTTTTGAGAAGCAGCGTTTGTGCATATCAGAGTTAGCCATGTAGATCGCATTTTAATGGTTATCACGCAGACATACACCGACACAAATGCACAAGTTTAATTTTTTATTTAATTTATGAATAAAGACGCTTAGACAATTTTGTGCTATATTTAAACTTTGTCTCTTTTAATTTATATTTGCTCGTACGAAAGAACTGGCATGTTTGCAAGCATAGGTGCATGCATGTAAAATTCACTAACATTTTTGTAACGATCACATACTCTTACTAGCTTTGATTATTAAATTTTTATTTATAGCATTTTTTATTCACTCAAAATAATTTAATTGAAACTAACATTTTTAAATAATCACGTCAATTTTTTATTAAATCTTGCTTTTCAAGTATAGTTTTCTACTTCACCTGCATTCTCAAATATTAATAAATTATTAATGGTGCTAACTCAGTGCAAAGGCCAATATAAGTGTGCAAGAATGATGAAAGAATGAGTAACACAAACAGCGGATGGAGGAATGAGTAACACAAACAGCGGATGGAGGAATGAGTAACACAAACAGCGGATGGAGGAATGAGTAACACAAACAGCGGATGGAGGAATAAGTAACACAAACAGCGGATGGAGGAATGAGTAACACAAACAGCGGATGGAGGAATGAGTAACACAAACAGCGGATGGAGGAATGAGTAACACAAACAGCGGATGGAGGAATGAGTAACACAAACAGCGGATGGAGGAATGAGTAACACAAACGGTTGATGGGAGGAGTGAGCAACACAAACGGTTGATGGGAGGAGTGAGCAACACAAACAGCAGATAAGGGAGTCATATAAACAGCAGCACAGTCCGACTTGCTGGCACAGGAGCGCCTCATGTGTTTATTTTATGGTACTCCGTCCTGCAAATTAAAAACTATAAACCAATATGACCGCTTCTATAAATCGTGCACATATCAAACCGTGCAAATACATGAAAAATGATATTGCATTAGGATTAATTAGATATAGTTACGATATTGTATTGTGAAATTTTAAGTTTTTTCAAGTTGTCTGATAACCTTTATTGAATTGAGCAAACGAATTGAGCAAACGTGAAATTCTAAAAACTTTCTGGAGACAATGTTGTGTATTCTTTATTACGGAAAAAATTTTATGCCGGAAAATTTTTTGTATTCATTACGAAACTTCTTATGATCTGCAAGATTTATGATTCATCCAATTAGCGGGAAAGTAGAAATACGTTTGCTAACTGCTACCAAATCGAGCATAACGGAAGCGAAACAGCAGGTTGCAACGAGATTTGACGTTTTTTTTTATTTGTGTTAACGTGGTTGAGCACATTTCCACTGATGTTACAATGTGGAAGCTTCTCTTCTTCACTCACTACATCTTCGTGGCTGAATTTAACTATTCCGCGGCAAACATTTTAATTGTGTGCTCTTCAGAACAAAGCATTTAGCGTAATCGTCCGTTTCCCTCAGTCGAACCATCCAAGTGACTTCAAATGTTTTTCTCAATATCAGCAAGTCTATTTATTATTATTAAAACTTGAATGTAAACCGATTAATATGTTCGCGTTAAATTTTGGATAAAAGATTCATGTACGTTCACTATTTTTATTAAAGTGACATTGAAATCTGTTTTTGGTTGAGATGATATGGACCATAAAACATTCAAAACTTGAAAATGAAAACTTCCATCAAGCATGTAGTGATTCAAGTTACAAGCAGTAGTGAAAACCACATACATCTGTAAATAATGTGAACAGAAAGACCCGTAGAAAATGCTGATTTTATAATTTTTTTCTCGCGAACGACAAAATGTTTTTATCATTATTTTGTTGATGTTGCACAGCGTCATAGAAATATTTTTTTAAATAATTTTTTGTTTTCTATGGAACAAATGCCAGGAACCGTAAATTTTTAATCATTTCCGTTCAGTTGGCTTTTATTTCTATAAAAATTTTTATTCTGACATTTCATCATATTTTTTAACTCGCTCACAAAATTGTTGCATTCATTTCTAGTCACCTCACTTCATCATGTTCTCTTCATTTGATGTAGTTTTCTAATTTATCATGGCTAGTACTCATTTTAATTCAGAATGAATTGAACAAATTTTCAACAACTAATCGAAGAAATTTATATAAACAGTTAAAAAAATTATGTTGAAATTCGTTTTTAATTATTTTTATATTTAAAATTTAAAAGAGCATTTTAACTGAATTTAAGATTTGGTACTGGCCGACCGAAATATTATTAAAGTTACCGAAACTTGACGCCCACTAGTTTTACAAGTGCTTCAAGTTACTGTTGTTGATGCAAGCTCGGCTCTATTTCAAAATTTAGAAACAACAGCTGATGAAAAAGTAAATTCAAATTGTCCAGTACATCTTGTGTGAAGACGTTTAAAATTATCTACATAAAAAAATACGATAGGGAACGATAAAAGTGAACAAAAACAAATGGCATCAACATGGGCAATAACACAAAATGCTCGTATGTACCCTGGTCGGTTGGTTATGTGGCTCAATGTTCTCCAGCAATTTTCCCACTTTATTGCTTTTTTGTTGTCGCTCTGCGTTGTTGTGCTTATAAAAAACCACAACGACTTTTATTGTTGGCTTGTGTGACTTTGCACATGTGCTGCCATTCTTAAATTGCTTCGAATTTCAACATTTTCGTGCTGGTGCATGTGAACGTAGATGTGTTGGCGCGTCTTTCGGTAATGTTCAAGTTAAGAGAAAAATTGATTATTTTAAAAAGAAACATGAAGTTGTTTTAATTTGGAAGAGAAGCAACATTTGTTTGATTTCTCGAATTGCAGATTTACTTTGAAAGTTTTTGTTTAATATCACCATTCATGTTTTTGTTTGAATATCATTCCTCTGTTGTCAATAAGGTGATCTGAGGAGATGAATGAGATTATTTGAAATGTAGTAGTGGAATGTTGTGCAGTGCATTTAATAAATCAAGTTGAAAGTCAGAAAATATATAAAAAATGATCTTACTTATCTACTCACTCACTTACTTACATACTCACTTATTTACATGCTAACTGTTTTACTATTAACTTTTTACTCATTAACTTACTTACTTTCAAACTTACTGATTAACGTTTGATGTTTGTTTGCATGTCATACGTATGTGTACCCGCGCGTAATGAACGCAAAAATGCATAAGCTGGACATAAGTGGTTATTAACATGTCGTTCTGTTAGCTGTTCAGTTTACCAGCGTTCAAATAATTTTGAGTTTGCTTTAAAACATTCTTCTTTAAAAAAAACTTCTACACAGTATGTATGTATCTTATACATGTTACATATTTTTGTATTTAACCTGTTTTAGTTAGAATGTTTTGTGCTTTGATGGGAGAACTACGAAGACAGTGAGAATGATGGTTATAGGTATGTTGGACGCTCTATTTCCAACGTTGAAAAGACATGTAAAATTGTAATGTGTCTTCATGAAATAGTTCAGCTGCACATCATCACAATGTTGTCATTTCTTAATATATTATAATTTATTATCAAAATGTTATAATATAATTATTATTTTCATTTACTAAAAATGTTTTTGGACATTTCGAAAACATACTTTGTGCTTTATAAAATTTTTGTGTTTTTATAAAAATTTATTGAGCCATTCAAACGTTACAAAACTCCTTCATTTATTTTTTTGTCGTCAACTGAAGCCATAAACATAAACGCTAACAAAGTTACTGAACGATAGGAAATGAAAAAGTTTCAAAGCGTAAGGTAACGGTCGTACTAAAAGTTTAATTTCAGCATGTGTTTTATAGTTAATGCGTTCGTTGCCAGCCTTATAAAGTGAGGATCGTTCTGATGAAAAACATTCACTGCCAATTTTAGATCTGCAATCGTTTTCTAACAACATAATAATGTTTTTAATTGAATCGATGAGAAAATTGAAAATAAAAATTCACACTTTCTAAGAAATGTTTTTAGAAATTTTCCGATTATTAAATCGAGATTCATGCAATTAAATTTTATTAGTCATAAAAACCATTAACCGAATCTATTATATCTAAAAGAAATTTATTTCATAATTAAGACTTGAACGGAACGTACAAGTACTAACTAGCAGCTTGTAAATCATTCATCAAATAATGTAAGTAATAAAAATTGAATTAATTTTTCTTGTCCAGACGGTGAGTACATACGAACGACACGGTTTCCAGCCAAGTTATTAATCAGCCAGCGACACACGTTGAAGCAGAACAGCATGTACTGTCTCAGGTTCTGGTATCAAATTGTTCCACGCAAGCGACAACTTAGCAATCGGAAAGAAAAAATTTCCTTGTACATTTTCCTGAAAGACAAACAAGCGTTCGATCAGCCAGAGTGGCTAGTGGATTCAAATTACTTAGATTCGACGTCATCAACATTGCAAAAGTCCATTAAAACATTAAGGGAAAGCATTGGATGGAGACAGGCTGAAATTGTCGTCCACCTGAAGAATGATCCTCTCCAGTTCATTCTTTCTGTACAGAAACATAAACACTCATCATCGTCGTCGTCATCGCCATCATCATTGTCGTCGTCATCTTCTGACAGCTATCAGTACAACGCAGATGATGATAGCGATGATGACAACCGCAAGAACGAGTACAGAAGTGGTGTGGCTCTTGATGACATCAGTTTGATGGAAGGTCAATGTCACGGAGGTTCGTTTCGTTGGGGCTGCTGTTGTTTCATTGTTGTTGTTGATGTTGTTGTTGTTTCATTACTGTTGTTTCATCATTGTTGATGATCTGTCTTTGTGGTTTTGTTGTTGGCGTTGCTCCGTTTTTGTTGTTTTGCAGTTGGCTGGTGTTGTTGCAATCTTTTTGTTGACATAACACAAAGTTTTCCTAATGTTGCCAACATGTACCCGCATCGTGTGCCTTCGTTGTAAAGTACAGAGACGTGAATAATGACTAAATTATTATTTTAACTTTTTCTTTCTATTGTATTTTCAATTTTTAATATTTAATTAATTGACTTACTTGGTTTAAAAATTAAGAAAGTGTTTGTGTTTATGATGTTGTTTAATAGTTCATCTGACTTGTCATTTTTGCACGCAATGAAGGAAATCTTTAATTTTTTATATTTCAAACTAAATGTATCTGAACAAATTTTTTTGTAATAGCAAAAAAAAATATCAAAATGAATAATTCAGACCAGCAGCTAGTATTTCTACTTTCTTCATTTACCACATCTTATGTTGACGATGTTGTTATTTTAACTTAACCAAAAATAATTGCTGGTGTAATAGCTTGGGATCGTTTCAAACATTTCACTGGCACGTTGGTCGCCTTCCTTCTCTGCATTAACGCATTAGCGCAGTGTCACTACAATTCTATTTTTCAAATTTGTTCACGTTTTCCTATATACTTTTACTTCTCATTATTTATCAGTTTTTTTTTCCAAAATGTAAGTCGGCTACAATTATATAAAAAAAGTTGTTAGTCAAGTTGAAGTTTGGCTGATAATGATGGGGATGATTTTGGTGGAAATGGTTGTGAAGATGACAATGACGATGGAAAAAATGATAATGAAAATACTGATGATGAAAATGATGAAGACAGCGTTTAGGCTGGCAATAATGACTGTCGTCAAATTAACATCGATCAGAGTATGTATGGATTTTCATTAAGTGGAGTCTACCCATCTCATTATGTTAGCTTCTCCATCAAATCATTCAGATCCATCCATTCATCCATCCATTCATTCATCCATCCATTCATCCATCCATCCATTCATCCATCCATTCATCCATCCATCCTCATCATCATTCCTTCCAGGCTTTCATCACCGTGATTAATTTTTTACAACTTCGCTGTTCGATCACAAATTTACCCCACCGCAACAAATTTTCATAAATGTGCAGCGAGAATGAAGATTTCTCGTTGTGCATTTTGAAAAGGAGATGTGCTGCCTGGCTCGTCTCAAGTAATTATTTCAGATTCATCAACTTCCTTCTTTCAATTTGTCCATGCATGCAAAAACTCTGCAAAGTGCGATTTTTATGTAAACTAGCTGGGTGCAGTGATAATTTGCGGCTGCAAATTAGGTTCTTATGCGTTGGTAATTCGATTTATTTAAAGATAAGAGAAGCCATTTTTGGAATATGCCTCATTAGGTACGTGAAATTCATGTGTTAGAGTTTGAAAAATAATTTTAAATAGCACAAACCACTATGTCACTAGGCTTTATTCATGTCTTAATTCATTCCACATTTTTTTGCCTTTGCAGTAACTTCCAAACTATCTCCAACTTGTAAATTTTTGGTTTATTTTTTACTTAATTCCACTCTATGAAAAACCTTATTTTTAGCATGATGTTTCTCTTATCTATGAAATTCCAATTGAAAACATTTAGTAAAAGAAATTTATAACCGATTAAAAATTTTGCCATTGCGTTGTTTGAACTTTATATTTCTTCTATGTAATAAAGAAGATAGAATAAAATAAAAAAAAATATTTGTTTAAAATTATAATATAAATGTCTACATGTCTACGTACAGACACACAGTGAGCTGTCGGAATAATTTGAATATATATGAACGACGGAGCACTGAGAATGAACTGGGGTCAACTTAGTGACGGCGCGATTGCTTCACTGACCTCATCACTTCATCCGCGTCAGCTTCCTTCCATTCCATCTCTTCATCTTTTTTTCATGTTCCATAAATGTACGCAAGATGCATGGCCCAACCGAGCGGTGCAAACACATGAATGCAAAAATTAGCACGAATGTATGATTATCATAAAAGTCTGAGTGTTGTTCCGTACATATTTGAATGTTGTTGCTACGAGTTGTTATATTGAAGCGGGCCAGATTATAAAGTAAGAACTGGAATAACATCGTCATTGTGATTGTCTCATTGTCGTGAATGTTAGCAGGACTGTTTGAATATTAATAGGAAAGTAGCTAAGCAGAGCACGACTGTAAGAATAATCGTTTGATGTGGTCATGTGTCATCTGGATAAGCTTCGTCGTTCAGGAAATTAAAAAAATTTGAATGATGTGTACGGTGAGGTCAAGACGATCCAGATGTGATGAATGATTTGATGAGTGGGCGGATGGTTGGATGGATGGATGAATGGATAAATAAATGAATGAACGAACGAATGAACGAACGAACGAATAAATGAATGAATGAATGAATGAATGAATGTATGAATGAATGGAAGGATAGATCAGAATTTAAATGGATGAAAAGATAAGTAATGATGGATCGAATGAATGGTAAATTTATAATTAAAATAAAAAAATGTAGAGTAGGTGAATGACTGACTAACGCTATAAATAAATTAAACAAAAAAGTTTAACAAAGCTATACTAGATTGATGAATGATGAAATGCTGAATTGGGCCAGACATATTTGGGTTTCAAAAGTTCGGATTTGCAAAACGTTCGGAACGTGTTTTAGTAGAGCGCTTAGTATCACTTCTATACCCAAAAATATGAGCTAACTAAACGGAGATTGTTTAAGCAAATGAGCTTTTAAATTAATAAAAGTTAGAAACATTACTCATATTGTCTCCATTCACATTCTAGCTGCCATTGATGTTTGAATATAATACCCGCTGTAAAGTTTTTTGCATCCTTCAAAATATTTCACGAGTTGGCGCCAGTGTTCATACGGTCACTTAATGTCCATGTTTGCGCTAATATTCAAAAATTGTTTTTATTAGCATTACCAACAATGTGGTGACCGCAAACAATATAAAATCGACCGCAAACAAAATAAGATCACCAGTTATGGCCTGAAAATTTCCTCACAATCACAACTGACATTAACCACATTCAAAACATTCCTCATCAACTGCAAACAAGTTCTACCAAGTTCATTGATATTTCAAGAGCAAACGACATCAAACCCTTCCATTCGTTCATCAGTGGAGCATCTTTCCTTCAACTAGTTCGATTCTTCAATTCTCCGAAAAGTTTATATTTGTAGCGTTGCATCGAGCAAACAACACACGATGAATGAAATGTATTTTCGTGTTGGAGTACAGAACGCAAATACTTTTAATTGCGTCTTTTCCATTTGTTTGACTGTGTATCTCCTTGTTCTTCTTCTTGTGTGTGTGTGTGTGTGTGTGTGTGTTGGAGTGATTACTTGATGTTTTTATGTGGAGTGAAAACTACTTGATGTTTGTGGCCTCTTGAGCAGTGCTGCCTGCTCGCTTGTGTGGTTGCTGCAAGTGATGTTTCAACCATGTTTATCTCCAGAATGTGTGGTGTCCCAACATGTCTTATGAGTATTATGAGCTATAACGAAATTTCTCAAACTGGATTTCAGTTTATCACAGTTCGCATAAGGAGGTGCCGGGAAAAGAATAAAATTTATTACGTTCCTGTTTTGTTGCATTGTTTCCACTTATGCCAGGTCCTATTTCAAAATGTTGTTACTCTGAATTATTTGTTATCAGAGCTTTTATTGGTTTAGTGCTACGCTGCTCACTACTGCTTTTGACATTGTTTTGACTTTCTCGAGCAATGCTATAATTTATTTTTATTCTTGTTTTTATTTATTTTCCGCTATTATTTGGTTCAATTTCCTGTTTTTAATGACATCTTGCGCTCTTTAAAAGTTTCGTTCGTCTACGATCGTGTGCCAGCAGAGTTCCTGCATGTAAGATTTGGTTTGGATGACTGTGTTTAATGGTGCAGTATTAATACAATTTATTGTTAGCATTGTTGTTGTTGTCTTCGTCGTTGTTGTTGTCATTGTTGTTGTTGCGGTGGTGGCGGTAGTGGTGGTGGGGTGGTGGTTGCCACTTTTGCTTTTGTTGTTGAGTTTTGTCTTTTTATTTATTGTGTTGTTGGCATAGCTAAAAATGACTTCGACCATGGAAAAAATATTCCTTACATGAAAAACTTTATTTTGCCTTTTCACGCCTTTAGGTTTTATAAATATTTTAAATTGCAACCATTTTTAGTGAAATGTTTTGCAACTAAAAATATTTTATTTTGTTCATCCAACAAAATTCCTCAGTTAAGATCCCTGATTGCTTGACTATTTATATTCATCATTCCTTGCGCTGCTGACAGCTTAAGAGGAAAGATTAAATGAATATTTTACCATCCTCATCAATACCATCTATTTTTTCTTTCAAACTTTTTTTAAGAAATAAACCAATGTCAGTGCCCGTGTTTTTAGCGCAACGATTTTTACATAAACTTTGATATTTTTATCACTTTGTTATCTGTATAGACACACTGCATGGATATTGTCAGTCAGCCAAAAACTATTTTTGGCTTCGGTATAAATTGGCATGATGTTATTGGAGGTTGCAGATTTTCAATTGTCTCGCAAAATATCAAACACAGAACACAAAAACTATTAATACATAATTTTAGTATTTATTTTCTTGAAACAAAGAAAAAAAATTCGACTTGAGTTTTTTTTTAATTTTGAAAAAGACGTTTCAATGCTTGAGTAGAATGATAAAATTTTATAGTAGCCGGAGAACCTGATGGGCTCTTAATTGGATTCTGGGATTTTTACGACTTCAACTTTTAGAGCATTTGTCTTTAAGCTGCTTCATTCTCCTCTCCCATCTCCTCCTTCTTATTACTTTCTTTCCAGCATATCAATCAAGTTGCGTCACACTGATCGCCGCGTTCGTTATACACTTTTTTTTATTTTTCTCTCTTCAGAGTATCGCCGTAAAGAACAGAGCTATTTATAATTTATGTATATTTAACTGAATTTTCTGTACATAATTTTATAAAATTTTTCAGAAAGTTATCGCAAAACCTGTCGTGTTTTTTGTTTTAAAAAATTAAAAAAAGTTGTCATCATGACCAACACCTCATCTTCTTCATTACCTGCCATGTCTGCCATGCAATCGCAGTGTTCATCGAGAATTTATTTCGCGAGTGATTGAGAGTTGGTTCCTGGAATAGTTTTTTTAAGTAAAGATTTGTACGGATCTGCTATGATATAAATGCTTAATACAAATTGTGAAATTTTGTTTCGCTAGAGTCGCCATCGACCAAAGTGACGTGGCAGTTTTTGTTCTGAATGTTTAATAATTTTCATTCAACATTTTATATTTTATTATCAATTATTGAAACGATGATTTTCATTCATAACAACGTAAAAAATTGTTTATTTGTCATATGAATAATGAACATCATCGCGTTGAACCTCACCTATAGTCGACATGCAATGCAATTTTGAATCGTCCATGTGTGGCTGGACCTCCGACAAAACCACCTTGAAACATTCCTTGGGACAAATTACGGCGACGAAAGTTTGGAAACTGCTGGAGACAGGTCAGGCAAGAATGCCGAAGATTCTGTACGACAAGTCATCATCTGTTGGAAGTGAGTAATCCTCTTTCTATTTGTTCAGTTGTTTGCTGTTACATTCAGTAGATACGTGTTTGTGAAAGTATGTTCGAATGTTTTTTTTCTGTTTCATTGACTTTAATTTAAGTTTATTTTGCAAAACATTAAAATGTTAAATTTTAAAATGATTACAAACAACACAGACGGAAATTTCGCCTACATCCACTTTGCTCCAGCATTCTCCTCCTCTTCCTCCTCCTCCTTCGACTCAGGCCTCCTCATCAGCCCTCCATTTTCATCGGCACAATCTGAAGAGCTCTCTTTCACTTTCTGGTTAGTCTTCGTTTTTTCATCGAAGCTTGTACCCTCTAACACTTCCTCCTACTGTTCAACTTTTTTTTCTACATTATTTTGTGCCAGCTAACATTAAAGTATAATTGATTGTTCCACTTTATGAAGTATTTCTATTGCAAATATCATTTTGTTATTAAATGAAACATTTTTTTGTATGTGTATTTTTGTGGTGTATTTTTTTGGAATATGTTGACACAAAAATGCCGAAACTGGAAAGCTTATTGCTCCATTGAAAACTAAAATTTTGCCAAGAAAACTTTCTTCTTAAGATGGAAAACGCGCCGATGCTAATTTCAGTGAAGTTCAGAGTCTGAAAATGCTTCAGACATGTTTTCCCGTTAAGAATAAGAATGAAATAAGAAGAAGGCTTTGCTATGTTATGCACGTTGTTAGTTGGAACATGAAAGACGCTCGTAAATAAATGATGACACATCTTGCGGTATCTATTCCGCCTTACGTTATTTAACGTAAGTAAATTTAGTTTTGGTTCGTTTTCAGTTGACTACCTCCATTTGTGCATTTTGACGAAGTGACTGAATAAGTGAATCATGCGTATAATTCATTTCAATAATTGGCTTGCATGTCTCACAACATTTTCATAAACGAAGCAAATGGATTTGTATTAAACTGAACATTCTTAAAGACTGGTGATGTTTTTTTAGGCTTTCAACACAAGCTGGTGTTTTTCGACATTGATTAAGATGCAAGGCAGAATATTTTAAACATGAAATGGACGAACACTCAAATCGGTATTCATCATTGTACTAAACTAAAATTGATTGAGATTGGCAGATCGAATTTAATAGCAACAATAGTTCTGTTTTTGTTACAGTATTTTTTCCTGACAAAAACAGTTTTGCCAACTACTGATTAAAGAGTTAACATGAAACATTAACATAAAAAATATAAAACCCATTCAAAAACGTTCTTAAAAGTATTAACAATTTTCGATATGAACTCATCCGCTATTTCCACATGTTACGATGCATTAACTCCACATTTCGATGTTGATATTTTGCTTGGGAAGAACAAACAAACAAAACGTTCAGTAATAAATTGAAGTGCGATCAATGCATGCCTGATGAACCAAATATTTTATTCTGCCCACCAATGAATGGTCAAAAAGTTGAGAAAAAAAAGACTGACATTATTAATAAATTATTAATTCAACGAAAGATGAAATAACATGAGAAAAATTGAAAACCAATTTAATTAGTGTTGTTAAAACATTCTCAACAATAATTTTGTTGGGTGTTTGTGATGGCGGTTGATGCCAGCAAGCAGTTTTATTGATATAGAGAGACAGATCCAATGTTTTACATGCATGCTTGATTTTTGATTGTAAACATTATTCAATGTTTTTGCATACAAAATGTTTATTTGAAAACATGAATATTTATTTGTAACTGATACAAACCTAAAAAATCTAATGTTTCTTTGGTAAACCAAGTATCAAAATATAGCATATATTTGATATATTATGCCAGTAGCTTTGCTGAACAACAACAATGAAAATTAGTTTTGAAAGAAATTAATTACAAAAGTTTTTTGAAAAACTGATATCTCGCTTTCATATGACACGTCTGTCTGTCCGTTCGCTTAATTAAAAATCTCATTATCATTCGTTCATTTTGGACAGACGGACGGATGGATGGATGGACGGACGGACGGACGGATGGATGGTTGGTTGTTTGGCTGGTTGGTTGGTTGGTTGAATGGATGGATGGATGAATGGATGGATGGTTGGATGGAATGATGATTAAATGGATGGATGGGTGGATGAATGATTAGATGGATGGGTGAATAAACAGATGGATGGATGAGTTGTCTGATGGTAACATCTCTAATATGAAGTTTTATAACGGTAACGGTGAAATATATGAGTATATAATTTTTGTGATTTAAAAATTATAAATTTGATTAAATTTAAAATAATAATAATATACACTACTACTATTATTATTATAAATTATTTACCATATTATTTTCATTTATTATCGTTATATTAATCAATTGATAACGTCAGACGCACAGCACGGCTTGTTGTGCCGCCTTAATTTTGACGTACCTTACTTGACCAAACCATTTGTCTGTCTGTCGCATTATATTGATTTATGAATTTAATTAGAAGATACGGCAATCTAATGTTTGACCTTTAAAATGTTGTTGTTCTTGTCGTTGTTGTCATTAGTGTTATTTTATTGTTTTTGCTGTATTCCATGTAACATTGAATGAGCATGAGCAATAGTTTAGCGATCGCATCAGCCAAATTTGTCCAAAAATAAATGATTCTATCATCTGATGTTTTTATCTGAAGGTTTCATCATTCTGTCTCTACTCTTGTAAGCGAAGAATTGACCTAATTGTGATGAAATGTTTTTTCGATACGTTGGTATGGCTGCTATTAATGATTTTAGGTTCTTTTTAATTTCAGTGCAACGTTGATTTTTGTTACTTCTTCATCCCTTCCACTGACGTCTCAATGTTCCTCTGATGTTCTCGCCCGTCTCTTATTTGTTTAATTTTTGTTTTGTTGCTGTTTTGTTGTTATTTTTCAGGTTTGGCCACTTTTTTAAAAGGTTTTTCACATTCGAATAAGGTATGTTAACTTTTGTGAAATTTACAGCAGCTAAATCTGTTGACAATGACAATTTTAATAGTCGAAATATAAAAAGGCTATACTTTCTAATTGCCTTAGTACACTTCAATAGATTTTTGTTAAAAATTCAACGAATGTTTAGGACAAATGTTCAACTTTCTAAAGAATAAATTTTCAATATTGATTTATATTTGGGAAAATGATTTGTTTGGCCAAGATTTTTTAATGTTTTTCCCATTAGTCCACGTTTTTTACACCAGATTCCATTTTAACTTCTTCACTTTGTCAATATTAGATAATGTTTTCAATTTTATCCATGTTTTGTTTGTTGAAAGTTAATTAAATCGATGCCAAGTAGATTTTATGTGAGACTCAGAGCAACAATACATCGAGCCCAAACACGTCTCGTTGCCGGGATTGAGTATTCACTTGTTGCATTTAAATGTTAATGGGTAATTATTGTTTGATCTCATTTTCAAGTATTAATTAAAATTTTTATAATAAATAATTTAAAATATATTCATAAGAATTCTAAAACAAACAAAAAAAAATCTTTTTGGAGGTAAAATGAAGAAAATGCAGAGGATAGAAATAGAAAGCACCTAGCCCGCTAATCACTGCTCCTCAATTAGCATATTAATTGCATACTTTGAAACGAGCCGATTACACCGCTACGTCGTCGTCGAATTAAAATGTATCACCCACCTTGTGCTGCCTGTCTGTCAGCTTGTCTGCCTGCATCCCTGCCTGTCTGTCTGCTTCCCTGTCTGTCTGTTTGTCTCTCTCTCTCTCTCTCTCACACTCTCTATCTCTGTCTGCTTACTTGCATCTGTACATCTGTGCACATGTGTGAAGTATACAAACATACACGTACACAAACATTTAAAACATCTATATATATATATATATATAAATATATATTTATGTATTATGTGTGTGCACTTGTTCACGTTATATTTAATGCATGCAACGATATTTTATTTCAGGAAATAATTTAACGAGTTTAATACTCTTTTATTTTTTTAATCGAAATGTGTAGTTTAAACGAATCCATTGAAACAACAACAACGACAATAAAACAAACACTTCAATTTGCAAAGTATGATTGCATTTTTGCGAAAAACCTATTGGGGAATAATGACAGAAATAGATAGCGCCAGTCACAAAAAATAAAAAATATTTAGATATTTAACTGTAGTTTATTCCATTTATACAAGCAACCTGTTGATGTGGTTTAATAATAAATTTACAATGAAACATACCTTCTTGATTTCGCAGTACTTTCTGCTGGAAACATTTAAAAGTTAATTGCAAATAAAATTCTTCAATTTCTGGCAAACAGGTAACGGGGTTGGCTGGCATCGACGGAGATTTAAAATAGTCCTTCGTCGTATTTCTCGCAATGTATGAAATTTTAATTTGAAATTACATCTCAGGCACGCCACCAGCTAGATTCAGTCCACACGCAACTCCACCATATTTAAAATTTTATATATTTACTACGTATATTTGCTATACATATATATGTATATATATATATTTATTTATTTATTTTATTTATATTATTCATTTCGTTTATTTACGGTTGTTGGTCTACTTGTTAGGAATGGCTTGCCATACAGTCTGCATAAATACAAATTGGCTTCAGAAAAGTTTTGTTATGAACTGTAAAAGCTCATCTCTTCAGGTTCTAATTCAACTTGATAAATTTAAGCGGTGCTTCAGAGTCTTTTAAAATAGAAAGAGCTATATAAATTCCTTAACGATAATGTATAAATACTATAAACAGTGTGAAGAAAGCAATAATTTTACGTTGGAATTGATATTAGCATGAAATGTTTTTAATGAAATTGTGATTAAAGATCCGCCGTTGGTCACACGTACACCAACGATTTATAAACTTTGTGTCACTTATCCAAGCTTAAATTTTCACTCAAACATAAGCAACGTATTTAGATTTTTTTACAATTTTTAATATAATTTTAATAAGAATTCAAAATAAAATCCAGAAAATGATCATTATTGGAAAAAAACCTCCGTAGCGTTCGAAACGATAAAACGGAGGAGAGATAATGAATTGAAAGGATGGAGAGTAATGAAAGAGAGCTCGGGATTGGTGCAAGTTCGTCTAACCGAGGCATAAAACGGGAATGAACACTCCATTCTGCATGTCAGTAATAAAACTAACATATCCCACATTTGAATTTAAATTAATTCCATCTTCTCTGTCTCTCTGCTTGTCTGTCTGTCGGTTTGTCTGTCCCTCAGACTATCGCGTCCATACCACCTATTCACCACCAACTTCGTCATCATCGTTATCATCATCTGCATTACCACCATTTTTTTGACATCCTCACCATCATTACCGCTATCGTTATCATCACGGAAGTTGTCGGACACCATCATTATCACTACTCAATTATTTTCTGGCTTTATTAAAATAATAATTTTTTCAATGATATATATTTTTG